TGATCAAGTTAAGCAACCATAATTCGGTCAGGCGTTATGATCCGTCATCTTGTCGCGGCCTGGCCATCCTGGGGGGCGTTGGCTTGGCTCTCACTAAGCAGATATTCAATCTTGCACGCAAACTGCCGTAGCAACAGAAGGGCGGGGTCACCCTCAAAGCCATGTCAGGCTTTTCCAAGCAGACTGCAAAATTACGATTTATGATTAATAACCTTTTAATTTTAAGACTTAATATGCTATAGTTCTTCATGTTATGAATTTAAAGGAAAAGGGAAACAAAATTCTATGATTCCTTTGTTAGCAAATAAAACTCGTGGACGAATGAGTGAATGTTTGCCATTCGCCGCTCTCTGTCCATCACAGCCCCTTTAACAACATACATTCAATTTTTTTCACCGGTACCACGAAATGTTTAGGGTCTGCTTTTCCGACTACTTGAGTACAAGAACCAAATACTTCAACACGATCGTTAGATTAATTTAGAATGTACGAACAATAAATTCATAAGAAGGTTAACATGTACACACATTCTTAACAGAGTTATTCTCGACTGTAACACGTATAAAAGAAAGCACTGAAAGGAACTACAACGGTTCAATTTTGACGGTAAACAGTTTCATTAGTATAATACATGGATTGTACGTAGTTAATTAAAATATATAATTATTTAACAAACTAAAAACCTCATTATCACTTTCATTGTTAAAATCTCAGGCGACTTAATTGGTTGTTAATGTGGGATTAAGAGAGATAACAATAGCAATTTAATGCTTTAGTTGGTATTACGGCGAACGTTATAAGTATATTCGTTGGTTATATATGTACGTTCGTATAGATAGCTAGATTTTGTATCGCTTTGAATGTCCGTTTCGACCAAAATATTTTTTTGGTTGAATTTTTATTTTGGTGATGGACTTCTGTTATACATCATAGGATAGCGTATAATTTCAAAAAAGTGCTTATTTGGTACATACGGGATGCAGCAGCATAACTTCGTTTTCTCAAAACTTAATAAAAGCCATATTGTATGAATCAGAGTATTTCCATATATTTTTTATACTGTATGCACATGCGGAAGTTTTTATTACATATTTTTGAAGATCAAACCAGGTAGGTGGCACTGAGTAAACCGTTATATGGCGTCTGTCATGACTCTTGCCAGGATAGCAGGCGTTATGTTGGCGATCTCTTCTTGACTGTTGGTCTTCAAATCTTGCAGGATCCTTGTACGGTTCTTATAAATACGGGATTCCAAAAAACCCATAGAAAAAATCACAAATCACGAGGGGACAGATAGGGAGAGCCTCCGCTCCACTCCAAATCGCCCCTAATTGAGATGAGGCGCTCTTAGTCTTGTTGAAACCAAATATATCATAAACCCAACTCATCTAGCCGTAAAAAAACCGTGTGAATCCACTATCACTGCGGTTTCCAGGGGACAAAAACTCCAGCTGAGAAAACTGCACACCACACTATAACCCTAGGTGAATACAAAGCCCTTTGATGCAACTCTTGAAGATTGGTGTCACTGCAGTAGCCCCAGTTTTGTTTGTTGACGGATCCACATGAATGAAAATGGGGTTCAGCGCTGAAAAAAAAACAAAGGCGTCCTCAAGACGCTCACACGCGTTCATCGGAGAATTTTAGTCACTCTTAAAAAGTTCCTGCACGATTGCCATCTTGTAAAGATAGAAATGAAGATTATCAAGAATTATTCTCCTCACATAACGATCGGAAAGACCAAGAGCAGACGCCTGTTTGCGCGCAGAAGGCCGTGGTTTTCGCAACATTGGAGTTGTCACTGCCTCAATATCTTCAGGTGGGAGGCCGAGGGACTCTTCTTTCTATAGAAGTAGGAACCGTTTTCAGCAAAATAATAATAGGATTCGATATCGATTGTCGGAGGATATCGATACTAATGAAGACTAGGTAGAATAGGCAAGCTCACAATTTGTTTGTTACCAGTGTTACTTAGTCAGTAGTCATGATGCAGGTTTTTACTACCTGTCGATCAGGCTGAAGTAGTCAACTTGACAGTCGTTGACATTCCACAATAAATCCAAACATTCCTAGTATTCCAAACAGTTTCCGAAAATAGTGAAGCTATCTGGATTGCAACAGAAGTTTAAACTGAATAAAAGCATATCTTTTTATCGATAAATGTTATATATTATAGTCATCGCCGTTACATAAGAACATTTACCTCAATATTGCGCTAATACCTGGCAGTTGTGAAACAATTTCAATTTATTTCATTTCACTTCTTGCTTTAATAAGCACTCAGTCCCAATCTAGGGTTTGTTAACAGAATTGTACACCTAACAATAACATTAAAAGATGCAAGATAGGCGAGGCGAACCAACTTTTTTGATGGATACTGAAAACGGCCAGCCGAAACTTCAATCAAAGTAAGCTAAAATGCAACATGAACTACTCCAATTTTGAATCTAAGACTTTCTAGAGGACTTTCGCGTTGTAAGGGCATTAAGTTTACGATATCATCTTAGTGCCACAAGATTCTAGGGAGGAAGCTCAGTAAACTAAAAAAAAAAATTGAGAAATACTTCAAACATATTTATTAGATGAATATGGAGACAATGACATAGTAGCAGGACTTTCTATGTTATGCATTACTAGGTATTTGCTTTTAGCCAAAAATCTGCTCGGATCATAACTATTTAGGAAAACCGAGTAAAATTCATGGGAGACGTCCCACTATTTCCAATCTCAGGTATTTCGCCATTGTTGCTCTTTAATGAAGAAAATGTTTTGTATTGCTCACCTTCCAATATCACGAATTAAGCAAAACTGTTCGCCTATTGTACCATTAATATATTTTTATTTTCCTTTTCTGCCTGATCTAATTCAGCCTGCTTATTAACAATAGTTGAGCGATGCACATTGCAACACAGATAGTATTTCTGCCTTACTCTACGTGAATACACCCAATACAAATGGTTACTTGAAAATCCTTACCAGAGAAAAGAATGTCCGCTGATTTATTGGCTTGTCATTTTGGTAGGCAATGGAGGCAAATTAGCCAATAGCATGAACTAAAGATACACAATTCTGGCGACAAACAATGCAATACAAAGCCAAGCCTATATGGGTCTAATCTAGTCGAATCTATTGGCCAAAACCAATGTATTAGGTCGAATTTGAGAGCTAAGCTTGTATGGTTTTCTTGTACAATTGTACCTGATAAGCATACTCGCTTTGGCTGCTTTTGTTTTGATTTTTGAAAAATGGTAAGAAGACGGGTGTAAACAGTGACAAGCAAAATTAGGTTTGCATTCTACCACAAGTAGTTAGTGGTAAAAGCCCCCCCCCCCCCAGTATGATGCTTACATGATACGGTTTATCGAGATTACATTTTTCACAGAAATGAAATTATCGTGTAATTAAATTTACTTATAATGACCCACAAACAGACGGTAAACATGATATGATGCAGCTTTTGCAAGAAATCCTCGTAAATCCGATTATTGTGCACCGATTATTAACAAGAACGCTACCGCCACGATACCAGTAATTATCGCCATTGATGTCCGTTTTGAGACGTCCAATTAAAGATGATTTGTACAATCTTAGCGATTACAATTAGAAGGTAAAATCTGGGTTACTCTATATAAACCACCAGTTATTCCCAGGTGATTAAATGCTCCACAGTAGTATCTCGTTCATCAAGAGTAGATCTCTTCTATCTTCAACTACTCTCGAATAGGCGACAGAAAGTAAACGCTGCAAGTTTTTGCATGCACCGTTTCCAGCATCTAGCTTTAATAGATTTCTTTGAGTGCCTTCATAAAGTGGCGCATGAACACCGGATCGGAGTGTCTGTCAAACGCTACTGAAAGTACGATCTAGTCTTGTTTTGCATACTTTATATTCCTAGTCTCATACTACCGGTGCTCTCAAAATGGCTTGAAAAGTATGCATTACAAGATGACAAGATTAAATTAATACTGGACTGGCAATTTGGTTTCCGGGAAAAATATTGTGCAGGTGCACAGAATTGTGAATAAAATTAATGCGGATTTTAACGGCAAAAATGCTTCAGCTGCATTTCTTGATGTATCTCAAGCATTTGGCAAAGTTTGGCATGAAGGCCTGAACTTCAAATTAAAACATCCATTAAGCCTATCGGTTAAGGAGTCCCACAAGGAAGTGTTTTAGGCCCACTATCTACTTTATGTATACTGCAAATGATACGTGTAGACCATCTTTTGATTCCACAACGATTCAAACATAGCATCGCAAATTCTTCAGAAAAACCTGCTCCAAATTGAGTAAATAAAAAGTACATCACTTGTCACATTCACCTTCTGTTGCGTCTGGTAGAGCAGAATGGGCCAGTCCACATAATTCGATCGTATAGTTCAGTTTAGTATTGAGTTATAATTTATGATAACTACTTAACTTTCAGGATATACGTTATCAAACATAATAATACATTCTTGGTATTAATTGTAACGATCGCTATACCTTGAGAGTCTAGGGTATCCTTTCTTGTGTTATAAAATTAACATATTTGAATAAAATATTAAATATTTTCTAGTATCTGCTTCCTTATATATAAGAAATATAACGTGTTCCCTATATTTTTTATGGTAGACTTTTCTTTTGTGTCGCTGGATGACGTGATCTTTTTATGGCTCTGTTATGTGGCTGCCGAACCTATTTAATAAATAGAAAACTAGTAACACAAAACGCCTTCACCTTTATATCAGAGAAAATCTTGTGAAAAGATGGATACCAAAATGTCAAAGTATACAATGTGTTCAATCTATCTTTCTTCTTTTTACAAAAAGTGCACCGTTATGCGTTATAATCATTCAGCAAATTCGAAAAATGGATGAATGAAGTTAAAATTAAGTACAATAAAAATTTTTGGAAACAAATTTACTACTCTATTTGCCAAGATAGCGGATGTGCATGTTAAACTGTCAAACACTTTCCCTTCTTTTGAAAGGAGTATTCAAAAAACCTACCCAGAGATACTACATATAACCCATAGATAGTTTTCTTTGAAAGGTTTCTGTAATAGTAGCGTCTCTCCAATGACGTATATTGAGCAGATTTCGACTATAACTGACGTGCACGATCGCGAATCGCTCTTTATGTACCCCTAGCGGTAGGTCGTTTTTAACTCCACCCATGTTATCTATAAAATAAAAATTGAAGCGCTTCTTACATAACAGCCAACTCCGTAAAGAGCTAACATACTGCTTTAGAATTTTGCTAATTGTTTTTATTGATAGAGATTCTGTCTGGCTTGTTTCTAACTGTCCTGTAACGTGCTGAAAGATAATGATCTGTAATTGGCAACGAGTACCGAAAATGATTGCTATCTAATATCAGGACGATGTGCCGGTTAGATAAATCGGCGAGTATATTGGCCCCAAATTATGTGCAATTTACATAAATGTGTCCGGTCATGAGGAAATTATGGTGAAAGCCTACTGGAAATGGGGAAAATAGAAAACTTCGTATAGCACGACCGAAAATGTGACATATTTGGACAAAATATATGGTTCTGGTAAACAGCTACTCATATCCAAAATCATACAGTCGAGAAGTGCAGATATACAGAAGAAAAGCAATTCGTGTTCATCGATTATGTGTTCAATGGTAGTTTCTAAGTATTGGAATAAGGACAATCAGTCAAGGTTGATAGTTAACTACAAATAAGGCATCAGCGAGTCTAGTTCAGGTGTTATTAACCACTATTCTGGGCGCCTAGGCGTACCGGTGTGCCAGGTTTCTTATTTGGAGAATTATCTTGTGACTGAGTGTTGACGCTATTTGCAAACGTTGTTCTGCTTTGTATTTACGATTTACGATAAAAATGGGACCATCGACTTATATAATATAATACTGTACTGTTCCTAGGTGTATCAGCTCCTGAATTACATTTTTTTCTGTGTCAAATAGAAATTTTCCAGACTGTACAAGGACAAACTCTTCTGTAAAATTTGCTCTCACTTCGAAAGTACCGAAACAAGGATCATACCATTTGAAGGTTTTATATAATTTTTGTTTTATTGCAGCCTGAAGTTCAGGTAGTTTGTCATTTAACACAAACAACACTGAAAATTGAGAAAATAGTGAAGAATATGCACCAGAACAGGCATGTAATGGAGGACATAAAAGGTCCTAGATATTGTCCTAGCAAAGAGTCAAAGATTCTGAGATTTTCAGGTAAATTATTTTATAGAGTTGCTAATAATCATTCGCGAAGACCTTTGATTTCTTATGAAAAATCAAAACCTGGCAAATGCATTTGTAGCTATTTCGGCATTGCGATAATCACAACTTAGGTAACAATCAGCTATGAAACCCTCTTGTCAGTGTCAAAAACATGGGCTACAATTTTACAAATATTGCACCATTATCAATTTCACAGACACAAAAAATCACTGCGGATAGAAATAAATAAAATTCAGATGACAACTTGCTCCGTCAACAAGAAAACTCACAACGAAACGTTCGAATACAGAATGAAGAGTTTACGCATCTTTTACGATAACTGCGTATGCGACGTTGACAACTGTTGCGACTTCAGAATCACACGACTAGTTGTCAGATTGCATTTTTGCTTAAATAATTCAATAACGGGACTGACTGAAGCATAGTAAAGCATGGACGTCTGTGGCATACAGAAAAATGGCGTCAAGTAGGTTGACTCTGCACTCCCTACGCAACGCCGTCAAGTTCATAAAGGATAACTTCAACGCAATTCAAATCATCTAAGAAAACAGTCGGTTATAAGCATGTACAATAGAGAAATTAGACGGATTCAGTCAGTCAGCCAGGCCCGTACAAACAGTACATCTTTCCCTGTGCCACCGGTAGTTACTGTTCATCTGGCAATGTTGTCCCTTTCCACATCTGTGCGTTAGCGCCAAGCTTAGATAATAGGAGTAAGCGAATCGGAAACATTGTTCTATCACTCTGTTATAAAGGCAAATCTATGATGGGTGAAATATGGTTTATAGAATGCATAGAATTCCAGGGGTTGGGAGTATTGGAGCATATAAATATACAAATATAAGAAAAAAATCATCGGTAGCTTATGATGTCGTTTGGGTTGTTAAATGGTTTTTAGTGCTGCTGTCCAAGAACGAAAAAAAGAGCCATAAGGGGCCTATAAGAAAAACGGTGAAAAATATAATCACTGTCACACTGTATTGCTTACTGTAAATGTAGCTGCAAACCTGGTTTGGCTACCATGCCGTTCGCGCTTTTTGTATTTTATTGTCAGTTACCGACACCTAAACTTATTGTTATTCAGTCGTGCAATATGACTCTGTCGAAGGACCGGGCTCCAATTACAATATAAAATTTTACGCTGTCTGCCCATTACTCCAGTAGTTACTAGTAGCGAATAGAAATGTTTGCAAAGGCCTAACTAGAAAAAGACTGTTCGAATTCGACGCGCATGTTATACAGGTTTTGTGGTTACACTTATGGGCATTTAAAATGACCACTGGCTTGCTGTATCTGCAACGGTCCTAAAGGAAATGTTATCTTCCAAGTTTAAATAGTTAGAACTGTGTATATGTAAGAGAATTTTTTTATGTAGAGTATAGGTACTTGCTAGTAATGGATTCAGAAAGCAATTGATGTTAAAAGTGATAAATGCTTTTTGTAAAAAAATCATGCTATTTATTGCTAGTATAGCCACTTGCTTGCATATGGTACTCGTAGGTTGACAGATGTTTGTAAATGCGTTTGAGAGAGAATGTGCTGGAACTTAAAATTATACATAAAAGATTGTTGTAACAAGTAATGAGTTTGAGTGAAAATCACAAGAGATCGCAACCATGATGTATTTTTTGCATTTTATATATATTTTTTTAGGTTCTCGTGCACATAAATATGTGATTTTTATACTAATCTAGTTTGAGCAGTGTTAATCAAGAACTTTGAAGCTTGTTCTATACATATTGTCCCATGTTGATATCGTCACCCAAATATTTCGAAAAGTATGCATTACCAAACAAAAACTGTACAGTTTTGATGGTAACCTTTATCATGACCTTGACTGCAACCTTCAAGGTCAAGTATATTTTTTCAAATGGAACTCCCCGCAATTTATAACGGAGTTAAAAAGAGCTTAGCGTTATGGTCAAAGTCACTGTTATGTTGTTTGAAACTCTTTTTTTCTATAATGCGTAGTTTCCGAAATATTCGGGTGGGTGATTAAAATGCAGTAAAATAGTGCAGATTAAAATTGTCTCTTTGGAAAACGCATGACTTCCTGGAATTTCAGACAGTTCGGTGCAGTGCATTTCAGAATTGTTGAGCTGACTGACAAAAGTAATATAAAATATAAAGCAGTGGGAATAATAAAAACTGGGATAACTGTGTTAACTGGGGTAGCATCCGTAAATGCATTTTATATATGCGATTGTTTTGAAATAATAACGGATGTAAAAACAAAAGAAGGAATTATAATGTCACCTATGGCCGTGACCCTTGATGCCAATTTTACGGTCGGGACTTTAATGGCCTCTGCCGCAGAGAGCGAAATTACGAACCTTGAACATGAATATTGCTGTGTGCTTATACGCTGCTTTTCATAAAGGTTCCCTTACTTATTTTTGAATGCGTCAAATTGGAAAACTGAAGCTGAAAATTATGTATGTATATTCTAGCGTAAAGGTGGCAGTTTAAAATTACTACATTCTAAATGGAATGAGAGGTCGTCATTTTAAAGTATCTTATGAGTACTTTATAAGCTTTAAATATAAAATCCCCATATTTCAAATCGGTCGACTGACATGCTTTCTTCCCTTGGAAAGGTATGTTCGAATATGTAATAAAAAACATTCCATTAAAAAAAATTGGAAGAATATGCTCATTCAAAATAGCTCATACCTTATTGCACATTCATGTAGTTCCAAAAATAACCGCTAACGTTCTGATGATATGTTGCTGAGTTCTGTGATTCAATTTACAAAAACGCTCAACCTTTTCAGCTTGCCATTACGCTATTTTTCAAGGCTTGAGCATTGTTCATCAAAACCTTTGAAGCTTGTTCTATACATGTTGTCCCAGTTTGATCTCGCCACCCAAATATTTCGAAAAGTACGCATTACCACACAAAAACTGTACAGTTTGGAGCTCGCCCTCATTTATATCGGAGTTGAAAAGAGGTTAGCGTTATGGTCAAAGTGACCTACATTGCAAACTTTGTGCGTTTTAAGGACAAAATCAAATAAAGAGAAAACTGTTGATGAAAGTTTAAAATGAGTTGTTGAAATGTTTAAATGCAAACATTTCACGGATGCCATCAACTTCAAATTTTTAGGGCCGAAAACCCCTCTTACATATACTGATCCTTTCTGTGGATATCCTCATCAGCTCCTCTTGGCCCATGCGAACAACAAATGATTCCTATTAAGTTTTCCATCTACCGCAACTAAAATTACTTATTTTCAATGTCGTTTCTAATTACATTCTTTTCAGCAAAGCAGTTTGCCAATCTGCATGTAAGGAGGAAGCAGTGACTTACTGAATCATCCGAAGTGGAACAATTTCCTTGTGGGATATAACCTTGCAACTTGGCCGAGTGAGCGGCTCGGACACAACAGATACATCATGTCATTATCATTATTATGTAACTGTCCAATTCGGTTGACTGGAATATGCTTGCACGAGACTACTTAAACCTCTCGGTAAAGTTGAAGTCAAGTAACTTGACTTGGTTCTTCGCGCACATTGTTGTCAACTACAAGTACAGGGTGCTCTAGGTAAAACTACAGAGATCGATTACTTGAAAAGTCAATATTACAGAATCCTGAAGGTTTTGGATTATAATATAACTAGCGGGATCAATTCAGCTAAAATTCTTTTTAAACTAATGTCAACACCGATTGTACCGGAAGTGAATATTAATTTACTTATCTTAAATGAAGAAATTCTAGATCTGACTGTTTTGGAGATATCTCCAACAGACAAACGCCGACCAATGAATTATTACTTAACGTAAAAGTTAGAGAGAAAGAAATTCACTCAGCTGATCTACATATGAATTTCTGAAACTAAACAAAAGCGCCAGAAATTATAACACAAAGTGTTGAAAAGGGAACAGATATTAAAAAATGTAAAACTCATATACAGAAATACTAGTTAGTAAAATAATTACATCTCTGCCAG